CAAATAATTGATAGTAAATTGAAAGTTTGGTATCTGTTGAACGTATCTATACCATTGGACTGGATATAAAGGTGATCACTGATACAATTAAGCCTACCTCATATATTTGCGTACATTTGGACATTGGCAATGCAGGACAGTTGAGAACTTACTTTTAAAACAAGAGTTGATTTCGGCTTTCCGATTGTGAACCGTCCACTTGTTTTTATAGCATCATTCCAAAATCTCCTGCATATGGAGTGTATATCTCTTAGTTGATACGATATTCCAGAGCTTGCATTTCCTATCATGATTTCCTTGATAGAGGGTTGCTTTTTACAAGGAAACTATTTAACCAAAAGATCGTATTGGTAAAAGTGAAGTCTTCCCTACGAAAGTTATAAGGACGCCATCAGGTGACGTTGACCATTTGGAAATATCTGCGTCCTAGTTGACAACGAATATGTTCCAATTGTCGTAGCGACAACCCCGTTTTGATTTACTTGATTGTGACATTACCGAATTAGATTTATCACGCAATTTGTAATTGGTGTGCCCCACACTACAGGTATGTGGATAAGGATAATTATGCTTACCCATCCGAAGAAGTTGAGGTCAAACCTGGGTTTTTGGCGTGGTTCGAGTAGTCGTTAGTTTATCTAAGTAGTGTTTAATATAGACTATTAGTTGTGTTATTGTCGCTTTTCCCGTTTTTCACTAGTGTAGTAAGTTTTTTCGACTGATGCTTTTTAATTTTTCTCTTTGATATTTTCTGTCTCTTAATTTAATAGCATAAATAACGAAATGGCTTCATAGATATTCTAGCTCGTTGCCCAATGTAATACATTAAAATCATGGAAGTTATACTCCTTATGCGGAATGTGATAATAATAACGTTGTTTAAATGAGAAAACCAGTGTAACTTTATCGCTTTAACCACCCGTTACATTATTTTATTACTACTCACTTCATATATAAATAAGATTTAAATGCATGTAATATTGTTCATGTTAATTGATCATTTAAAATGAAATAAGGCTGGTTTGACTATTCATTGTATTCATTAAATCTACCAATCATTTCTGAAAGACGGAGGGATTTCATGATTTGATAGATTTAACATGTAATTGATTTACGTGAATAAAAAAAAGCTGTGTACAGTAACAATATGTAATTTGTGAATTCGTAACGACCACTGGTAAATTACAAGTTTTCAATGTATTTATTTGTGGAATTTGTAAGGTTATCGATAGATAATATAAAAAAAAAAAAAAACAGGAATCTTGAGTGTTTTCTCGCAACTCAATATGGTTGACATTGATACATGTACTAAAAATTACAGAAAGCACCACGTACGGCATATACTGAGGAAAATGAGGGTTTTAGAAATTGTTCCTTTAATATACCAAGAAAGAGGACGTTATTTTTTTTATTTCTTTTCGTCTTTTTTAACAACTTTTGAAAGATCATAGATTATTATATGTTAAGCAATTATTAATTTTCCATACGACTTATGAAAAATAGTATTAACTCAAAAATATGAATAAATACAATTTTTAGTTTTTATAATCAAAGCCATTTGTTGTCTTAAGCAGATTGTTGCCTTTGTTAATTTTGATTTCAAACACAATAAAATCTGTTATATTTTGATTCTTTTGTTAAATACAACACACTATTAAAAAACGGCCCGGTAATTGTAAACAATGCCGATGGTGATTGTTACGGTACGATAACAAAATCATGTGTATCAATAAGCTAGAGCTGTTTTTTTGCAGAATGAAAAAAAAAAAGAAGAAAACGTATTAAAATTGACTGGTGTACTAAGTTATAAGCCAGGAATCTTTGATAATTTTTTTTAATACCCGAAGGACAATTAACAATAGTCAACAGTAGTTAAACGATGTTCGGAACTCGTAAATATGTTATCCATAAAGGAGAAATACTCCGGGGGAATCACAAACAGGGCGAGACCGGTGGCGTTGACAGGGTAAACAACGCCTGCTATGTTAATATCATATACTAAGTCGGGAATATGACAGTTGTTTTCCATTTATTCCGTTGGTTAATATAGTCTACGTTTGAATTTGTCAGGTTTAATGGACTTCCCCTTTTTAGCTCACCGGGCCCGAAGGGCCCCATGTGAGCTTATGCCATCACTTGGCGTCCGTCGTCGTCCGTCGTCTGTCGTCGTCGTCTGTCGTCGTAAACTATTTCAAAAATCTTCTCCTCTGAAACTACTGGGCCAAATACCTTCAAACTTTAACTAAATGTTCCTTAGGGTATCTAGTTTATAAATTGTATCCGAACTTTTGATCCATTAACAAACATGGCCGCCATGGCTAAAAATAAAACATAGGGGTCAAATGCAGTTTTTGGCTAATATCTCAAAAACTAAAGCTTTTAGACCAAATCTGACATGGGGAAAATTGTTCAATTGGTCAAGATCTATCAGCTCTGAAATTTTCAGATGAATCGAACAACCCATTGTTGGGTTGCTGCCACCGAATTGGTAGTTTTAACAAAATTTTGCAGTTTTATGTTATTATTTTGAATATTATTATAGATATATATAAACTGTAAGCAGCAATAATGTTCAGCAAAGTAAGATCTACAAAAAAGTTATTATGAGCATAATTGTCAAATGACCCCTTAAGGAGTTATTGCCCTTTATAGACAATTTTACAAAATTTGTTCATCAAGTTTGCTAACATTTAAAAATCTTCTCCTCTGAAACTACTGGGCCAATTACCTTCAAACTTTAACTAAATGTTCCTTAGGGTATCTTGTTTATAAATTGTATCCAAAGTTTGTATCCATCGACAAACATGGCCGCCATGGCTAAAAATAGAACATAAGGGTCAAATGCAGTTTTTGGCTTATATCTCAAAAACTAAATCTTTTAGATTAAATGTGACATGGGGTAAAATTGTTTAATTGGTCAAGATCTATCGGCCCTGAAATTATCAGACGAATCGAACAACCCATTGTTGGGTTGCTGCCACCGAATTGGTAGTTTTAACAAAATTTTGCAGTTTTTTGTTATTATTTTGAATATTATTATAGATATATACAAACTGTAAGCAGCAATAATGTTCAGCAAAGTAAGATCTACAAAAAAGTTAATATGACCAAAATTGTCAATTGACCCCTTAAGGAGATATTGCCCTTTAAAGACAATTTTACACAATTTGTTCATCAAGTTTGCTACCATTTAAAAATCTTCTCTGAAATACAGGTGAGCGATTCAGGCTCTTGAGAGCCTTTTGTTGAAATGTACATTGGAGTTCAGTGTTTTTGTTAATACTTTTTTCCCGGTCATGTAAACCCATCCACAGTCACAAACGTCACTACAGGGTAATAACATTACAAAATGGCAATAGAAAAAATTATAGTCTGACTACTGATACACTAAGAAACATAAAATACGTTCACAGGAGTAGTAAATCTTAAGGTTCATCTGGACCTTTAGGCTAAAATGACCGTGTTTACACCACAAAGTGCAGACATCTTTCCTCGCTGCGTTGAATACCCATTGGTGGCTTTGGGCTGTTCTCTGCTCGTTGGTCTGTTGTTTTCTCTAACACATTACCCGTTTCCATTCTCTATTATATGTGTTGATTGACATGGACAACAATTAACATACGATTAAAAATGTTCTACTGATTGAAACATATCAAGTGAACTCAAGTGATTGTTTATTCTCTCATCTTCTGTAAGGACGAAAAAAATGCACAGCAAAATCAAGTTCAGTTTTTAATTACCTGAAACATAACATGCAATTGAATATATCTAGGTCATGCCATGCCTTAAAAATGTTCCAGATGCAAGGGTTTGTCTGTAGTCAGATTAATTTTGTGGTGTAAACAAGGCCATTTCAGCCTATAGGTCCAAATTAACCTTAATGTGTTTACATCCACTGACGCACTTTCATGGTTTAACCTACATCAGTAGCAAAACACCGGTGGACAGTTAACAGTTCGTGTAACAATGGTTGAAAATATGGATGGAAAATGCATTACATGGATAAAGTTAACACATTTTATATCAGTTAAAAGTTTAACATTGTGAAAATATAATCATAACGGATGTGGTGGTAGAATTACAAGTATAGGTTCACCATGTCCATCTATACATTCAGAGCAGAGAACGAAATGATAAAGTGGATTTCTTTTTGGAAGACAGACATGTAAATTAAATATATGATGAAATTGAAACTCTGAATTATGATCGAATTTTATCAGAAAGCCACGCACTATATAAAACTTTTAGGAGATGAGGTACATGCATGATTGGTAATGAGACAACTATCCACCAGAGCCCAAAAGACGGGATATAAACAACTACGTGACTGTATAGGTTAATGTTCGACTATCAAGAAAGAGCAAAAACCCATACCGTATAGTAAGCTATAAAACCCCTTACATGACAGAATTTGCAACAAATTAAAAGAGAAAACCAACGGCCTAGATTTTTGTACGTTGTGGCTTGTAGTAGTAATTGTTTTATCTTGATTTACAATTGCTTAGAAACAAATGACGCATAACATGTTCTGGTAAAGGATCTCTTCAATTAGGCCACAGTTTGAAAAACGTAAACATAATTTTAGTCATAATAATAACGCAACGAAAATCGAAGGTCGAATTAAATTGCCTAATGATTTAAACAAAATTTGAAAAGAGCGAAGTAACGTAACGGTAGTAATTATACAATAGATTTCTATCAAAACGTACATAATAGATGTCATATGAAACATAACATTCTCTGCGACCAATATAGAGGTAAATCGCTCTTCAATATTTACTTCCATAACGCACACAGCTTTTTTGTTATAGTTACATTTGTAGTGTACATTTGCTATTTTTCGTCAGATTATTAATTTAATTTATGTTTTCCATTAACAAAATGTGACTGGATATAATAAGTAGTAGTTTACATCTAGTTATTTTAGATGAACCGGATTTTTACAACAAAAGACGTGCACTGACAAAACACATTTAAATGTTTGGTTATTTTAAAAAGATATAATAAAATATCGATCAGCTTAGTTTTCGGAAAATCATTTAGCTTCTGCGTAACAATCAACAGTACATATTTGATCAAGTATACCTTTAATATCCATCCGCGTTGTATTAAAAGACCGCAATAGACAGGGACAAATGTAACAAACGTAAGTCCAATATTTTGTTATTCAACTATTACAGGTCAATTTAGAGTATAATAACTCATCAAAGATACCAGGCTCATAATTTTGTGCGCGAGACGCGCGTTAGAGTTAATGCAAATCACAAAAAAAAAAAATACAATGTATTTATGCGTTTTAAATATTAAATTTCTAGATCGATACATATAGATTCTACCACTGCATCGAGTGTGATACGATATTTATCCACTCGAGACAGTTAAATTTTCAAATTTAAAACGCGAGGCTCGCCGAGCGTTTTAAATATTTAAAATTTAACTGTCGAGAGTGGATAAATATCGTATTACACGAGATTTGGTGGTGGAATCTGTTTCTCTAATGATTTTCAAACAATACGCAGGCAAATTTATTCCTTCTTTTCGAATGATCTGTAAAAGATGTGTTCTTTCTATGTGACGTCATCAGGCATGGTCGCCTTTTTTCATGCCGTAACAATAGGAAATTCAGAGGAAAGCAAGAAAATTCGACGTCATAATCGGATTTTAACCAATGAAGAACTGAGATCAAACGAACCACACGTTGATTAAGTTTTTTTTATACAATGGGTGCAGAAAGGGATAAATTGACGAAGAATTAGAGAAATGTATTTACTTCTGCTGTTGATGACTGTATCATTTGCCAAATTATTTATATAAGGGAAGATCTCAGTTTTACTTATTCGCGACGATATGTATTCGCGTTATTTTTCTACTCACTAGTAAATGCATATTTGTTTTTCGTTAATTGTATCATTATCAATTATGACGTCAGTATTCTCTTCTGAATTGTTTGACATTTTTCATGTCTGAGTCTTTTATAGCTGACGACACATTCTTTATGTGCCTGTCCCAAATCAGAAGTCTGTAGTTCAGTGGTGGTCGTTGGTTCATGTCTGTCATATTTGTTTTTCGTAAATTGTTTTGTTATAAATTAGGCCGTTAGTTTTCTCAATTGAATTGTTTCATATTTTCATGTCGGGGCCTTTTATAGCCTCATTGGCAATATTACCACATCTCCTTATTTTTATATACCATACGATTTGGGTTTTTTCTCAATGTTGAAGTCCGTACGGTAACCTATAATTGCTTATTTATTCGTCATTTCAACTCTAATAGATAGTTGTATCATTGGCAATATTACCACACCTCCTTATGTCTATACCAATTCGAGGTCTTGTAATTAATATTACACAAAAAGACATTTTGTCAGACATTTTGTGACAAAATATGGCAACTTTAATTTGGTAAATTACTTATTGATAATGCGTAAGGCATTGCCTCAGAACTATTTTTGCCGTGAGCACTCTGCACAATGGTCGTTGTAAATAAACTTGTCAATTTTAACATATTCATTACATCATTAAGACATCACAACGGTCATTTTTTTCTACATTGTCCAGATTATATCAGCCTATTCATTTATCAATTGTAGTACGATACCTCCGATTGAAGAATGTTACTATTTTTGTTTTGTTGCAGGGGTTACAAAGTGACTCTTACAAAATATATCATAACTTCTCCTTTTCAGTTTATTATCATTAAAATCATACTTAAATAAGCTTTTGTTTCGGTGCTTTACCATTTTTTGTCTTTGCTCTCTCAAGCTTTCAGTATTCAGCGAGTCCAGGGTTATTAATACTATTTTTATCATAATTTTGTAATAGAAAATATTTTACAATTTCAAAAGCGTGCATTCTTTTCTGTATGAGTTCTGCAGAACGAATAGATTGGACAACAATGACCGTCATTGATAATTCTTTTTAATCGATCTAATACATGCAGTTAAATCATGACATCGTCTTGTTTTGTTAATAAAATGAAATAACAAATGTACGAAAATATTGATGGCAAGATGGCATTTAAACATACATTTATTGTAAATTATTTAATACAAAATAAATAATGTGTGTGTTCCTGTGTTCATATGAAATAAAGATCAGGGTTCAACCTGTTTTAAATTGACAACAATCAATTTTGGTTGCAGGTTTGAGCTCTTCAAGTACTTTTTACATCAAATAGAAAATGACAAATACAATGTAACTTTAAGCAGATTGCAAGTAGCTGCAGGCTATTGATATAATATGGTCTTTTAAAAATTATGTAATATGATCACATTATGCTTAAATAAATAAATTTGCTACAATGATTTATTTAAGATATCATTATAACACTGAATAGATTGCGTCCGTCCGAAGCGCCTTTCTGAATAATCCTTCATCGTGAAAGCTTAAACCAAATTGTATGAGTACTTTAATGCATGAGGGACTGCTAGACCAAAACGGACACAACAAGAATAGCCAAATGCATGCAAGGTCATTATTCCCTGAGGGATTTAGAAACTAAGTTTCTTAATTTCTCCTTATTATCGGCTGCCACTTCGGTAGATGCAATATAGGATATGTTCCTATTGCCATTGCATTACAATGGATATTGCAATCGTGCACAGCAGATGTTGATCGTTGTTTCTTTTTACATGAAAAGCTTCGCATGTATTACCGAAAGCCCATAATAAGGCATGTAAAGTATTCATATATTCTCAATGGAGAATCAAGAAAGGTATAAATTGTGTCGTTACCGAATCACTAACTACATCATTGATTTGTTGATAGTACCCTCGGGAACTATATATGAAATATAAAAAAAAAACTTTATCAATGTCATGTGTACGAAGCGCTTTCCTGGATTTACCATCATCAGGAACGCCCAAAGCCGAATATTAGAACAGTTGAAGAGGTAAAGGTACTATAGTACGCATTTTAGTTAGTCCTCTTTTTCATTGATTTACTAATGCAAAAATTGAAAATAAACCGAGGGTACATCCCGTAGTGTGATTAGTATCATAACCTGTCGAAATAAACAACTATTTTGTTTTTTAAATTATTGATTGTCTAATCAAAACTATTTAACGAATATTTGAAGAGATTTGTATTTGCAAAATGACAAAACAGATTCAATGATATTTTAGACTTTAAGGAAAGTAATTCAATATTTATAAAAAGTGTTTTGATAGTCCTGTTAGCATACATAACATCTAAGTTTGAAAAAAGTATATGATTACCATTTTTATTTATTTAATTTAAGAAAATGCTAGTTTTTGCCAAACAAAAGCAATTATAAAGGTATTATGAAAACGTGCATATACGTTACAACTGACCAGAGTAAAAGCTTACAAAAAAGTCATATAGTATAGTTAATTAATAAGAAAAAAGCGGACAAGAGGAAATGTCCGTAACTAATAATGACTGACCAACATGTTAAAAGCTTTCAGATCGCAGTAATACTACAGGTATATTATAACCTAAACACCGATCCATAAACCACAAAAAATAAGGTCGAGATCAGGCAAATTTTGGAAAATGTTCAAATACACCCAACACAGGTTCTATTGGGCATTAAAGAAACTGAACTTATTACGAAAAAATAAGTTAACATTGACTACAAAAAATCAAACTGAGGTCAATGTTTGATGAAACAGCAGTTTTATTGACCAAATACAGTTTAACTATCATTAATAGCAATCTTATGACTTTGGGGCATGGACCACTTTTTCATTCTTTCTGTTTCAGAATTTTTTATCAAATTTTCTTTATCAAATAAGCTTATTTAGCCTCATTAATGTGTTTTATCCATCCATGTGGCTCTTATCCATACAATCTTAGTTACAATAACTGTTAGTAGTTTATACGTTTTGCCTTGGTTCTCTTATTTTCCAATACAAACGTATAGAAAGAGGAGTATATATAAACATATTGTCCCGATAAAGAAGAAAATGTTATTAGGGGTCCACTGCCTCCAGGAGCTCATAAATTAAAAACAAGTTATCATTGGAATCTTACAAAAACACGATTAAGGTGTTTACTATTAGATCAATTTTGAAAACAGGGATACAATTTAAAACTTAACATTGTGTCGACATAATCACTTTATAGTTACTTTATCAATAAGAAAAGGTCAGAGGTGTTATTCTTTTGGATTGAAATTCATCATATACATGTTTTGGGGTTTTATGTATTTCTTTAAAAGTATGTAATTATTATCAAAATGTTAAGTGAGACAATTAATGATACGCCGCGTAAGCGCAAAAAGGCTATATCGTGGCGATATTTGTATTACAAATGCAGAGCGTATAATAAGGTTTAAAATTACATTCCTTTACGAGTACACATATCACACTTCTGCACTAAAATAAATAAAAATATAAGAAATTATCAAAAAGGCAACACCAGAATTCCTTGATGGAAGTAAAACATGTAATATATGGACGAAGAAATACAAACTTGATCAGAATAGTCTGACTTGGTATAAGCACAAAATATATAAAACAAGAAGATGTGTTATGACTGCCAATGAGACAACTTTCCATCAGAGACTAAATGGCGTAAAATAAAGCAGCTATAGTTCACTGTTCAGTCTTTAACAATGAGCAAAATACATACCGGATATATTAGCTATAAAAGGCCCCGATATGAAAAATGGCCTGATTTATGTACAAAATAATTAACAAAAAACAAATATGATGTACAGCAACAAACGACAACCACTGAATTACAGGCCCCTGACTTTGGAAAGCCAAATAGAGAATGAAGTGGGGTTAAACATGTTTGCGGACGTATATAACTCTCGGGTTTAACCAGTTTTACATGCGGATTTACTGACGGTTCCCATCAAATGACAAATGTCTATATCATGTATTAAAGCTCTGCGACTCTTTTCACAAAAAATCTACGATTAAAATTGATCGTAAGTTATACTGAAATGTGTATGACTTACGAGTATTTTTACTCTCAAGATTTTTTGTGAAAAGAGCCGCAGAATTTTTATCATGGTTTCTTTTCTAGAGTGCTGTTATAATAATGTCTTCTGCTTATTTCTCAACGGCTTTCGAAAAATCCCTACTGCACCTTTTTATATTTATTTGGACCTTAAACACGGTATGTTAATGATTTTAACATTATTTAGAACAACAAGTAGTTTAGAAGTAAAATTTTGAATAATTTAGGAGCCTAGTAATGCATTAAAAGGTCTAAATTTTGATATTTAATTAATATGCTTACATAGGTCTACTACACCGAATTAAACAAAATTTAGATAAAAAATAGTCTTATATGATTGGCACAGCCCTAACCACAGTATGAAAAAAAATGTTGGCAACCATTGTAATAAAACTTGAAAATTTGACCGATGACAGTTGTTGGCTGTCGTAATGTGTATTGTATCAAAATTATTATATGCCTTTGACGAGAATAACATTGGTCTTTAACTACTGACAATTGAATTGGAAAAGAAATTCAAGACAGAATGAAACAGATTTTGTCCTTCTAAAAAGACATAAGAAAACATAGTAGCAAAGTATGTGTGCCAAATCCCCCCCCCCCCCCCCCCCCCCCGAAAAAAAAGAAAAAAAGAGAAGAGATAAGCATATTAAACGGACTGATCTAAATAAAATAATACCGTAACATTTTTTTACAGGAAGGCACACAGAGTTCCTGAGAACTAAACCCACATTATCAAGATCAACTTCACCGACAAACATTGTGATACGAAGAATATGGAGTAAGTATTTCGGATATTATTTTTACATGTGAATAAAATGAAATTTATATGTGAAAGAGAAAACACACATAAATACAGAGATGAGAACACACGGACTTGAACAATCGACATGTGTTTATACCATATACATTTAAAAGAGAGGAGGATGATACCAATTGGATATTCACACTCATATTGACAAGACAAAATGACAACACCATGACAAAAAAAGAAATACTACCAAAACGCAAACAACAGTCTACAAAACACAACATAGAAAAGTAAAGACTGAGCAACACGAACCCCACCAAAAACAGGGTTTGATATTAGATCCTCAGCAAGAGTTAGAAGATCCTGCTCAACATTTGGCACTATATTAAGCTTTAAATTGACTGAAGACTTGACAAACTGTCAACAGCTTTGACAGAGACTACTAAATATCTGCCAGCAACACCTTACTGTCTAAAAGAAGGAAAGCAGAGCTAGAAGTATATATGAAATACTGACAAAGTTTCTATATCTTTTATATCGATCAGTAGTATTCCAAAGAGTACATGTAAAAAGATAGACGTTAACGTTCTTTTAATGGAGATGTTATTTTCTAAAATCTTTTTCTAAGCAAGATAAGCTAACTGTGATTCTAGCAGAAGTTAGCAATATCCGTTTTTGTGTCAAAACTTACAGAGACATTTTAAATTAGACGTTTTAGATTTGTATATACATTTAGTGTTTATTGTTCTATCCAATGGTTTAAGTCTTATTTAATATGTAATTTATCGTCCCTGGTAATTCTACACAAATGGCTTTTACAAATTGTTGAATGATGTAATACAATACCTGTCACAGACGATATTTAAATTAATAAATATCGTATTATTCAATGAAGAACCCAAATAAAGAAAAAAAAACTTCGCATTTGTCAATAAGGTTTAAATAGACTTTAAACAAACAGATAAGTACTTGCAAATACCGTATCAAAGGATAACCTTACAGTACTAATTCTATAGTAACTCGAATAATTCAGCACCCTCTATCTACTACCGTTTCTCTGGGGTGATCGAAGTAAGCGGAATATAACGACTGGATTATTCGGGTTTACTCTGTAGATACAGAAATTGTGTTCACCTAAAATTCAATGTCGGTCGTTGAACTTCCGAGTATATTTAATATTCATTCACTGTCATAAACAGTACAAGAAAAACATGTCATTGATCTTTTACATCTTTGATTTAAAAAATTTCGGCATGAGGCGTCAAAAAGATATATAAATTGTTGAAATGCGCATCTGTTGCATAAAATGTGAACCGTTATGTAACTACAATGACCAAAGTAGGTCTGTGTACATTTTGAACATGGGTACGGCCTTCAACGGTGAGCGTATAATCAACCATAAAATATAATAACACAAACCAATGCTAACCTCTGAATTACAGTCCCCTGACTTGGGGGTAGGAACATAAAGAATGTGCCGAGTTAAAACAAAGTCATGCTTGTGGGCGCTCAAACCTGGGACAGTTGTGTAACAACACAACATAAGAAAAAACAAACTGTAAAAATCAGTTGCAAATGGCTGAACCCAATACCATGTAGATCGGTAAGAAGCACACAAAAAAAAAATTAAAATAAAAAAATAATACACAGAAAGCACTTATATAAGAATACTCTCAGTTACTGAAAACAAGTTTAAAACCAATTAAACTAATAAATAAATCATTTTCTCCCAAACACAAGTCATCAGCATTTTATTTCAACGCGCACAAATACCAGCGTTAAGTCACTGGACTGTGCTGTTTCGTTTTCTGCAGCAGATAAAAAATTCAGGCGGGGAATTTAATATATTTTTTTCTTCAATATTCTGTTTATAGACCTATCATTGTTGACGTTAAAGTCACTGTAAAAATGAAGCAGAATTGCACAGATGATCAAAATGTAAACAGCATTGGCGTTCCACTTCCGTACCCATATGACAATGCACCTCAGCGTAAAATATGTATAAATGCAGATGGAAATGAACAACTGTGTAATCAGGAAAAACAGAACCATATCATTTGCAACACAGTCAAACTTATAAAAAATGAAGGTAAACAGAACATACTACCTTCCTATCCGGGACTTGTTTTGGCTGTTGTAGGCGACTCGGACAGTTTTGTTCCCCGACCGTGGAACACAGCAAAATTTACATCGGGACTTATAGATACAGTAAATGGTGCAAACAGTACGTACTTTTAGATTAATTTGTATATTAAACAAGCAGAAGTATCAACTGACAAAAAAAAAAAACCAAATTGTAAATTAAATTTGATCAAAAACATGGCAATAACAAATTAGATTCATGTATGCTGGCTCTTTGTCATTAACAAAATGAACTATTTTCATTAGTTACCGTTTGATTATAAATAAGCAAAAAAAATATATTTATTCATAGCTTTTAATACAAACTTTGTAAATTAAGAATAACAAACAAAAGAAATCATGAAGCATACTATTGACTAATATTCTGACGAAGACAAGACTATTCTGTTTTATAATAATTATTTTAATTTTCAGGTTTCAAAATGTAGATCGCACATTCATAACAAAAATCAGATACATAGGAGTTAATATATTATATATATTCTTTCAGAATGCTGGATCATCTATCGGGGTGGAGAAGATGGGGTCAGTTCTTACATTGACAAAGCATTTGAGATGGGCGTGCACAGTACAGACAAAGACTTGAACACTGACAAAAAAGAAATGCCCCTCAAAAACGAAAAGTTTATCGCCATCAAACCTGTACCAGATAACTATCAAGAAGTTTTTAAAGTAACTATTAGTGTTAAAGCTTCATAAATATTATAATCATTCTATTAGATCAGTAACTCAGCACAAATCTACTTGGTTATCTGTGTGTAAAACGAAGTAACACTTATCATTTTGCTGGGTTCCGTATGCATATCTGGGAAATTTTGCAGTATCCGCTATCTTCAATTTGAACACTCATGTTTTCTTATATAAGTATTAACAAATACTAATTATAACCATGCACGTAAAAAGCTGTTTCCAATGAACTTATATCTATCTACTAACAACCGATTGAAATATAAATACATGTATATGTAGTCGCTATTATTTAGTCCTAAAACGAAGAATGAGCGATAATGGTTACTGTCTACAATGTAACACGATAAACAGTTGAAGTTTTTTTTTCACTCGCGAAAAATTAAAAAAAAACTATTGTTGTATAAAAAAAAAAAAGATGAAGTATGATTTCCAATGAGACAACTATCCACCAGACACCAAAAGGGACGAGGATATAAACAACCATTATATAGGTAACCGTCAGTCTTTCAACAATGAGAAAAAACCAAACCGTATGATAAACTATAAAAGGCCCTGAGATGACAACATGTGAAAAAAGAAAACCAACAGCCCGATTTATGGTAAAACAAAAAATGAAAACCAAATATAACGGACAGCAACCAACGACAGCCAATGAATCATATTATATACAACACAATTTCGAACGAGATTCCACGTTGGAACAATCACCCAGTATAAACTTACAGAAGGTTCCAAGCTGCAGCAACCAAAACCTGTTTCGTAAAAAAAAATAATATTAGGCAGTGAAAAGTGATCAACCAATTGCAAACTATTAATGTACAATGTATTAAAAGAGTCGCAATACTATCGTATCGACTGCACCATGCATGAGTCAGACACATGTACCATGTAGTAAGTATGAGGTAGTATTTATTTTTTATCGATGATGTGCTTATATTATTCAGGGAGACATAGAAAAAGGGAAGCCACTTCCACGATGGACATTTCTGGTGCGGCCTTCCTTTGATGCAAGTAAAGATGATTCAGAAGATATACAGAAATATAAATGGTTTAACGAATATTCAGCCCAACTTCTTTCCTTACTGTCAACGAAAACAACGCCCCTCTTATCAAAAAAAGAAGGAGACAAAGAAAGTACAGGTGACAAACTTGCCCATGAATATTATGGAATTGCAACGTAACCACATGCTTGACGTGTAAATTATAAAATACGATAAACCTTAGGCATGGTACATGTAAATTATTCGATTTTGAGACAAATACTTTAATCGTATTGCTTGATTGCAAAACAGTTATCCTAGTCACGACTATATCGAAATTCAATTGATCCTAAAAAGTATTCGTTCCTGAATTTGTTTACTTGACAAAATAAGATCAACTACATATTTTTTGCACAGTAAAATATTTCTTAATATGAACTAAAAATAGTGAACAGACTTGTTATAAAATGCCTCTACATTAAACCAATAGAACAAGATACACACAAAGGAATTACTTGCGACGTTTTTTGTTGCCAATAATAAGATCGAATACACATGTTTTTTTAAGATGATCAATTTAACTTATTTCTAGTAATTCTAAAAACGAGACTTTTTAAAATAGAAAAAAATGTATTTTGCCGACTTCTACAAACATACTAAATAAGAACCTCCACGTCATCAGATAGATGTCGTGCCAACAAAATTAATGGTTGAATAATTTGAAGTTTGTAAGATTATAATGACTAGGAAATGACATGTGGAGCAGGATCTGCTTACCCTTCCGTAGCACCTGAGATCACCCCCAGTTTTTGGTGGGGTTCGTGTTGCTTAGTCTTTGGTTTTCTATGTTGTGTCATCTGTACTATTATTTGTCTGTTTGTCTTTTCGTTTTTGGCCATTGCGCTGTCAGTTTGTTTTCGATCTATGAGTTTGACTGTCCCTCTGGTATCTTTCGTCCCTCTTTTAGGAATATGTTTCTTTAGAATTTCATAAAAATAGAAATCAACAACCGAGAACGGAAACCAATATATCTATATCTAATTCATAGAATTTCATCAAAATTTTATATGTTCGAAATACCACGTATTCTTATTTGCTTAAACTATTCGTTCGGTCATTTTCTGTTGGCTTGTCTTCAAAACCAAAGAGATCTACACCGTCGCACAATGTTCTATAGGACATGTTCAGTTTTTTGCCGTCTACTTAAATCTATGCGGTATGGGTTTTGCTCAGTGTTTAAGGCCGTACGATGACCTACAATTGTTAACTTCTATCTCATTCGGTCTCTGGTGGAGAGTTGTCTCATTGGCAATCACACCACATCTTCTTATTTTTATGTCTTTTTCCCATATGCTTCAACGCCACTTAACTTAAAGTTTGATTACCATAATGACCAGTGGTTGGCAATAATTCAACTGTTTTACATCTCAACTCTTTATTTCCATGATTGGCAATTATATGCTCCAGTATGTATTTCTGTACCAATGACCTCTCATCGCAGTAATAACAACTGAATAGATTCAAAAGGTACAATGAATGCTACAAGTCACAAAATACTGATTCTTCGTAAAACTAAGAAAGGTCAAACGAGAACAACACCATGAAATGTCTCAAAGGCCTAGAGCTGCGAAATATGAAACGATTTAAAGGAACTAAGATTACATTGCAGTAGTTGAACATGACGTCACAGAACATTCACATTATCATTGTACAAGAAGTCACAGTACACTGGACTGAAATGAACGCGAAGTCACAGCACACTTGCAGACTAAACAGACTATGTATATTCATTACATGTAAATGTATACAGCAATGTTAGTGATCCTAAAATTGAGAATGGTTGTTTTATATCTAAGATAAATGATGTTGAAGAAGGGTTTAATTCAGGTTTTGGCAATTGTAACAATATTCCTTAACTAAATTATCAAAATCTTGAAATTTTATCATACGTTTAGACAATACACACACACATACTTTAAAGTTGTATTATCATTCATATATAAATATGCAACTAATGTTTTGAAAGTTCATTCTGTAATACATTCTGTTATTAAAAAGTGAAGAATCAATGTAAAAAACAAAATAAACATACCAAAGTAAATGCCTGTTTTTATTTGATGTTAAAAATGGAAGTCACAGTACACCGAGAACGCGAGGCACCTTTCATAGAGGACACCGTTTATATTGTGTGGAATTTGCACGTTCTTAGACTTGTTTGTCTTTTCATCGATTTTCATTTTTGGTATGTGTTTTCTTTTTTACTTCTAGTTATTTGTTTTGATTACATCCCCCATATCTTCTGCCTCCTTTTGCGCACCAAGATTGAGACAATTTTCCGAAATATCAAATAAAAGTTGTGTTGAACATAAATCTACGGTGTGAACAAATATAGACACACTACAAAAAGGCATAAATTGTCAGTTTCATATTAATAAAATGATAAACTTGAACAATTATTTTCAGAACTGTCAATGAAAGTTCCTGTTCTGTTGATAGTAGTAGAAGGCGACATAAGTACCATACATCAGGTTAAGTCCGTGTTAGAAGAGGACATTCCTGTATTACTTATCAAGGGTTCTGGTAAGGCTGCTGATTTCATCGCAGAATATCTCCAGAGCAGGTTAGTAATAAAACATACCGGCAACCTTACTTAATTTAAAGTGTTTCCTGAGTTTACTTATTTAGGAACTAACCTACAAAATAGAGTCTCAAACACATTTGACAATTTACTCAAATAAATTTGAGGTACACAACAAAATTATGCTTTTAACCTTAAGTACAGTGATATTTGCTTGACAAATTAATTGAATAACTGTCTTACTTTGGGGTTGTCTATGGCATGGTATTGGTTGCAAAAATTTGATATTTTTCATTTAAATGCAATATTTTTTATTCAATTGGTACAGACCTTCTAAAATTCAAACTGACCACACGCACGATACACGTACGCACGATACACGCACGGTGAATGCACGATACACGCACGGTGAATGCACGATACACGATACACGCACGATGAGCGATGAGCGTTACACGGAGGATTAACGAAAAATGAATGATGAATGATGAACGCACGATACACGCACGATGCACGATGAATGATGAACACACGATACACGCACGGTGAATGATTCATTGACGAATGAACGATAAGCGCTTAATACACGGTTCTCAAAGCCATTTTATTTGGAATTGCATTTAAAATTGATGTATGATAATGAAAATCTATTAAGGGAAACAAATTTTAGATATCTCGCTTTCTGTGTTGATTGGTCAACAGTTTTACTAAACACTCCATGTATTAAATAAATTAATTGTAGTATAGTATTTCCAATATCAATGAGTGTTGTCAAATTATAAAACTCATCGATTTTATAATTCTACTTAATATAAATAATTTATAAATTGCTACGTTTTAAAGAGTGGCGATTCCAGCCATTTTTAAAAAGAGGGTTCTCAACCCAGGATAAAAGGGGTGGTTTTAACCATATGTCCCCATTCAAATGCATTGCCCCCCCCCCTTTCTTTTTATCTGCCTAATTTTGTAACCTTAACTAATTAATTATCATATGTTTACGTTCCGAAATTTAGGAAATATTTGTATGTTTCGAAGTTTAGTATGATGTCCATTATCACTGAACTAAAATTCATTTTTTGTTTAGGGACCAGCTGAAAAACGCCTTCGGTGTAGGATTTTCTACCCATTGGTGGCCTTCGACTGTTTTCTGCCTGTACATCTAAACACTGCTAAGGACTTATAATATGCCACTAAGGACTAGAAAGGACGTGTTACTTGTACTTTGTTTTCATACTATGGTAGAGATAGATAGATTTTTATTACATAAATTCCAATTTTTAAAGAAAAAGAATCACCATTAAATGAGTAGTTGAACAATATTTGGAACGTGCCGGTTTTTCCTTGATATTGCCGAAAATCAGTGATCCGACTGACACGAGCGAACTTACATAACAACTGATTAAACAATCATAATCTCTTTTTTTTTCGACATAAGTAACAATGTTCCTTATATTATCAGAATCGTATGAGTTAATTTAGAGCAAAATATATAATTTGTCAGAAAAATCTGATTCGTACAAATTAATTAGAAATAGCTAAGAAAATGAAATTTACCAAATAATGAGAAAATTTAAACATTTGTAATACCAAATACTTCATAATATACTTCTGAAACGACTTTTCGTCCTGAATATGCATGAAATTTTTGCCACTGGGCGTTTAAACAACCACTGAATAATCAATCAATCAAATTTTGCTCTCAGTAAAAATGAATTAAACAATATAAGCCACAATTGTATCCATCACTTGGTGTCTGTTGTTTGTTTGTACAGTAAACATACTGAATCTCTTTATATTCCTTATACAATTTCAAGTATGTAATAAAATTCATACATATTTTCAAACATCCTGGCACTTCAAATTTCTAGGAGGTGAGATTCTCGGGGTTTTACCTGAAACTCTTTGGGAAATGCAATTTTTAATTCCAATTCCAATTCCAAACTGTAAAAGATATCCCAAGGTTTTTTAAAATGCATTTCTAATTTGATAAGGAGATTTGAAAAAAAACCGATCTCAATGGTAGTTGAAATTATTCAGTGCAATCATTTTGTGCCCGCCGTTGTCTTTCATACATATCAATTGGTGTATCCACTGTTTGCTGTTCGTTATCTGTTGTTTATGGCAGTCAGGCCTCGCGATCGGTCTCCAAATTTAAGCCCCCCACTTTGGTAAATTAATGATCATTTATAGGGGGGGGGGCTTTTTTCTCGGGACAAACATTATTTTCCTTCCTTAAAAACAACTTAACAATTTTCTATATTTTTCATTTAATCATAAACCGATGAATATTAAATGATTTTTAAAAAATCAAAAAGATATTTTTATTCTAATATATCTAAATATCTGGGTTATTTTCTTATCTAAATAATTATTTTTTCATTTTTTTAAGGAAAAAGTGTTATCAGTTATGGCCCCCTCATTTTAGACATGACATTTTGCTTGATACTGTATGAAGATTATTCGTTGCAACTTTTATGAAGAAATTACCGACTTTTTTTAACTAGATAAATATACAACAAAAATACCGTTCTTTCTTCTTGTATTAATTTCTTTTCACAAAAATTAAATATTAACAAAGAATTGCTACACAAATGTAGAGCCCAATTTTATAACGAAGATATTCCTAATCTCTTTACCGAAATCCGCATATCTTTATCTTTTGAAACAAAAAAGTTAAGGATGTCTGTTCAAAGGACAAAATTGTCCAAGAAACCGAAATGTTATAAGTAAATGTCGAATAATTCAAACCCATTTGTCTTTTAAATTTAGCACATGAAGATATAATTTTTATTACATATACAAATTGATTTTGTAAAAATTAGCTTGTATATATGTGAACTTTTGTAAAAAAAAAATCACTGTGGTTCTAAAACTGTATCACATGCCCATAATTGTCCTAAAGCTAAATGTCATCGTCAGATTATGAGGGTCTGAATAGGGATTCGTTATTTCTGTATTCTATCATTTTAGGCAATTTTTTCTAATCGTTATACCTTTTGTCGATCATTCTATATTCCATATATTCTAGTACCTCGTCATTTTCTTTTCTATATATTAATTTTGTCTGGTTATTTTTTGTATTCTATATTTTTTGGTCAATAATTTTCTATTCTATAAACCCCCATCCACGCCCTCATGTATAATGGAAGACGATTAACATTTTAGTATACATACCACCCGTTGTCACTTTCACCTGACATACAAACCATAAATTGTTATTTTTACCTGGACACGGGACTTATATAATTACGTAATAATAACGGATATAGTAAATTCAGTAGAATATAACCTGTATCAACGCACTGGCTTGTTAAATGAATATTGATCTGACAACTGTTTATCATATTTTCAGTTATTTTAAATTTGAGAATGGAAATGATGAATATGTCAAAGAGACAACAACCCGAAAAGAGCAGATGACAGCCGAAGGCCACCATATTTGATAAGGTTTAGTTTCTAATGAGACAGTAACCATCGTATTTTTAGAAAATCTCTAAACGGATAATGAGAGTTTAGCGACCTTGACTGGCTATACAGCCCAAGCACGGTCGGTCTCTAAAAGTTGCCGAGTTTAAGAACCTGTATCAAGAGATAGGCTTTACCTAGCTTTAGGTGTTTAAAAAAAATCCATTTAAGAACCAAATGTGGCTTCTTTATATTTATACCAAAATTGAGTTCAAGGCAGTATTTTGTCGAAGAGAACAATTACACATAGTGCAACATGCGAGAAGAGGTTTCATTTCCCTTATTTATTTTTTATTGAAGTGAGTAATCTTTTGAGATTACTTCACGGAAATATATTTTAAATGAAAAGGTGCAACTGGATGCATCCCTAAAAAACAAATTTAAATATATATATATTACCTGAAGATCTGTAAAAGCAGTGAAAGCGCTAGTAAAAGTGATGAATTGAAACCGTTATTATCTTTTATTAATTTTCTTATATGTTACCAGCATAACGGATTCTACTTAACTTTTCTTTATATATATATAAATATAATTTAAATTTGTTTGTTATATATATATATATATATATATATATATATATATATATATATATAATGACGGATATTCGTCAATCACTCAGCAATCCAAGTTACCTGACATCTAGAATAAGAGGTTTAAGCATACCCCGCGCTGGTCAACTTTCTGAGTTGTGGGTAAAATTCAATATACATGTAGGACTGTGAAACGGGAAATATACGAAATATTTGTTTTTACGTACGATGAAGTGTCATTCCCTCAATACATACGGGTCCACCGTGAATCTATTCTTATGATTATATAACGGTAAATGATGATCTCATTAGAGGAACAAATTAAGTAAAGATACATGTTGAAGCAAGAATAATTTCCACATGCAAAACATCAAATATGACGATCTCTAAATTAGTACGCGGCAACTTTAACTTTTACTTTCATAGACAATAACACTAGTAAATGCTTTATATACTGACATTGAAACAAATATACATAATAATTGCACATCTGTAGACTTTAATCTAGGTATCCCGCGTTATGTAAACCATCGCAAACCATCGAACAGCTCATCGCACTTCGGCGCAGACCAGCGCACTTCACGCGTGGCCATCAAACTTTATGATCTCCATTGCACCTCCGAGTCAAACACACATATATATTCCGATTTTCTAATAATGGTTTTTATTATTTTAATTCCCGTAGGTATTGCCCAAAGAAATAGGGTTTATTTAAGGGTTTACACATCTTCATAGCTAAAATATTTTGATACTTATATCACGAACAGATATCTATGACAAACATTTCTTAAATTGTCAGTATATAAATTTAGATTTTTTTTTAAGAAACGTAGGTTTAAGCTACAGCAGACTAAATTGGCTTTTGATGGATTGAAGGCTTATGTAAAAATAAGAAAATGTGGTATAATTGCTAGTGAGTCAACTATTCAAGAAAGTTCAAATCAAGAGGAATGCTAGCAGTTATATATATACGGCCTTCAATAATGAAAAAATACGGGAACTGTAAAGTCGGTTATTAAAGGCCCCGCTCCGACATGAAAAAAA